ACCCTTTAAGGGTCAATTGCTTAAAATTGTCACCTTCTTGAGATTTTATTTTGGTGGAAATGGACAAAAAATTACTCTTGTAAGGGTGAACCTTTTATATTTTTATATTTTCTTTAGTGATTGAAGTTATTCTATCTGGAAATCTGCGAGGGTGTTTTTTCGGCACAATTCACCTTTTAGTGAATACAGTGCTTTTTTATAATTTTGGTATGGAAAAATGAAGTTGGAAACGATGGCGGGTGATATTTTTGTCTCGTACTTAGGTCATTTTCATTAAATTTGAAGATTTGAAACTTCGTTGGCCGCCCTTTCACATTTTTTCAAAGGGGTTAGTCCACCGATCATTTTATTATTCAGTGTCCCATTGGCTTCCCGCGACCAGCTTTAGGGTTAGTTTATCTTGATCCGTGAATACAAGTTTTTTATTCCCGAAAAACAATCGACTGTGTTACAAATTCTGTTTAACTGTTTGAAATGTTACAATGTCACACAAGGCCATTCCTGTACAATTTTTCGGTCGGTCGGGCAAGGAAAAATGGCATTGGGTTTTTGGAGTGATTTTTGGATCTGTTTTGAGGATATTTTCCCTGGTATTTCAATTCAATCTTTCTCTGTGATCTATTTTTCCGTGGTTTCTGATGTAAATTTACTACTTTTAACATCATGAGAAACTGGACAGTGCATTCCAAGTCTGTCTTGTGCGGAATTTTTTTTTTCTTTAAATATTCATATAGTATACACTCTTTTTTTCTTTTTTTGAAAGTTCGCATAATCGGTCTGCTTCGATCTGATCGCTGTTCGTGAATAAAAGCTCCCCTTTTCGTGCAAAATAGGAAATAATCGCTGAAGCCGTTGTGAAGAAAGTTTTTGCGCAGACACCTCTGATTTCTGTTTGAAATGCACTCTAGCGATAAGGATGTGTACAAAATTAGTTTCGCCACATGACTTCCAATTGTCCCAGTGCCGCCATCAACTGCGCCGATAAGTGTTGGTTTTGCGTTACTTTTGTGTTTCAGGGTGTTTCAAATTTCTGCAGTGATACACTTTTTAAGCTGCAGAACATAACGTTGGTAATTAAAGGAGTTTATTATTGCGGCGCGACCCGGGCGATAGCATCAACCATCTAAATTATCACTCTAGCTACGCACCTATGTACCTAGGTCGCGATCTCCGGTGTCGGTGATTATCGATGACTTGTATTTTAAAATTTCATGGCGAGTTTCTACTTCATTGAAAGCACGACAATTCGGTCGCATACAGTGGGATAGCTTAAAAAACAAGAATCGGTGAAATATCCATATTCAAACTACCCCACTGAACAGCCAAGCAAGGCAGAGAAGAGGCAGACGTGACTGAAATATAAGCTGCTTCAATATTATTTACTCCAGTGTTACAACGACAAATGATACACGTACCCCTAGGTGTTAACGTAAAAATAAAACAGACACCGGGAACTCGAGTAAACACGAAATTTTGATTTGACGACGTTCAAAAATAATTGTGGAAGATTTTTCGACCCTCGACCATTTACCCTCGACCCTCGACTAGTTACCCTCGACCCTCGACCAAAAGGCAAACTCCTTTCTTTTCAAGGCGACGACGTTTACGCTTGAGTTGTTTAATGTCATCTTTTTGTCGAGGGTCGACGGTCGAGGGTTCCATGTCGAGGGCGAGGGTGCCATGTCGAGGGTCGAGGGTAACATTTTTTTTCCAACATTTTTTTTTTGGGAAAAGGTAATAATCGATGCAATCAATGTCATTAAAACAAATAAGAAGAATTTAAAAAGCAAATGGCGCGTGAACATCTTTTAGTTGTTTGGGTGGAGGCGGGGGGGGGGGGGAATAGAGAAAAGCTCCGGGACACCCCACTTTGTTTTGGAAAAAAACAGAACAGAACACGTTACTTGAAAACACTGTTTTAAAAAAAAATGTTGTAAAAAAAATTTAAAATTTCGTAAAAAAAGAATGAGTGCGTTGAATTATGAATTTCTGGTCAAACAAAAAACAATGGAAGGAAAAAACTCTTATTGCGTTGTAAAATGTGTCCTAATATGTGTCATAAAAGAACAATGCAATCGTTGGAGTCTATCTTTTTGCAGCTCGCATGGAAATCGCCACCCACTAACGCAGAGGTTTAAAATAGAATAACTCCTGGTAGCGACTTTCGGTGAGGTGAACATCGGCATTTGCCGACGCTTTCCCATTAAAATACAATATATCTTTCTAGGCCACAATCGGTCATATCAGGAGCCCATCAAATGATGGGCTCCTGGTCATATATATTTGTGAACATGGACGTGGTGGACGTGAATAGGAAAAAAAAACAGACGTACGGTCCATGTCTCCCATTGATCCAATTAATTGTTTTACATTTGCCACATTTCTACTAAAGATCTGTTGTTTTGCCAAGTTGGACACAAGTATTTTATTCCCGAAAAAAAAATCGACTGTGTTGCAAATTCTGTTTAACTGTTTGAAATGTTACAATGTCTCACAAGGC